TTCTTAACCTATTGTAGCAGTCATTTGTTTATAACAATCTAGTCACTAAAGTAGCTATTTTGTTATCCTAAACTATGACGTGGCAGGAGTTTCAAGAGCTGGCAGAAGAACGCCATAACAGGATTCCTTGCCCAGAAGAATATTAAAATTGGCAAACCAAATGACTTCTATTGAGTTTGAAGGATGAAATGCTTAAGAAACAAGAAGTTTCTGCACAGCGCAGGTAAAGGCAGGCTGAAGATTGTTGCATGCCCACCTGATTAGCAATCATTTAAGATGATTTTATACTGATTAATGAAGAAGATGAAGTTTATCCAGAAATTCAGGGGTTGTTAAAGCGAGCCATTTTTGTCATCTTCGTCAGTTTATATTTAATAAGAGAAGTGAAGAATGAGTATATTCTTCTTAAATATAGCTGCAACATGAAGCCCTCATTGGGAATGAAAAATCTGTTGTACTTGATTTTACAATATAAACTTCTTATGATCACACATATTTTTAGGGATGATATACTTACACATGTTTATACATTTTAAGGAGTCTATTTTTTTTTTTTTTTAACAAAACTCTTGTTGATTTTATATCATGAATCAGTGAAATGAAGGTTTATAAGATTAGGCTATTGGATAGGAGAGTTTTTTGAACTTATAAAGCTCTTTTTTTTTTTTTGTGAGACTTCTTGATGTAAAACTCACGACGACGCATCCCTCGTTTGAGAGCCAATGTCTCTGGTGATTCTATTCTATGGCATTTCACTTGGACTTTTATTGGTTAGTATCTTCCATTCATAATTCTTTCTGTGATATTGCTCTTTCAATGAAAGATTTAATATTATGAACATAAGTTTAAAGACAGAATTTATCTTAAAATACTAGCATATTGTGAGGGAGAATTTCTTGCACTTATAAACCTTACTTTTTATGTGAGATTTCTAAATGTGATAGTCATTATATACTCACATGTTTTTACAATTTTTAGGAGTCTAGTAATTTTTTCAAAAACTCTTATTAATTTCTTATGACGGAGCAATGAAATGAAGGTTATATTACATATGGCAAATAAGGCCATTGGTTCTGGAAATTACAGGTTGTCCTTATATTGCCACGAAACAGTATAAGAATGAGCTATAAATATAATGTCGGCCAGTGTAGATGTGGCCTTGATCTATCTACTGCATGTTGTCCAGAAGGAGAATGCCGGAGCGTGAGATATATTTTGTTTTGTTTTTTTCCTCAGTTTTAAGGCCAATACCAAACACATCAAATAGGACAAGTCACTGAGACAAGTCACTGAGCCAGTGGACATGGTGCCCTGAGCTGAAGGGTCAGTGTCCCTATTGCAAAAGTAACTCTCTACAATACCCCCATAAACAGACCCATGAAAAGAAAGAACACAACATGGCTTCTCAATGGCTGGCTTGCGTTTGACCACAAAGTGTGTTCTTGGCTGACAACTTCCCAATAGCTTCGTGTCCTCTTGTACTTGTCTCTGTCCTTTGCTTGCACTACGTGTGTGTTTTGACCAACACAACTTACCGGGAAAGACACAAGAAACACTAATCCAATATCCTGTATATGTGTCTATAGTATCAGTATGCATATATACCTACATATACATACAGTGGCGAAGTCAAAATACTGGCTCAGGGTGAGCAAAAATATTTAAATATTAATTTTTTAAAAAATAATTTAATAATTTTTTTCTGCTACATTTTTGTGTTTTAGAATCTTTCAAAAATTACTTTATTTTCATTTAAGACTTAATGGGTTTAGAGTTTAAAATACCAAAATAAAAAGTGTAAAATATGAAAAGAAAAGGGTTAAAAATATAAAAACTTGTACCCTGACTTGTAATTTCCGCCTAGTGAAGGATGCAAAATATGGAGAAAAAGGAAAGATGGAAAATATAAAAACTTGTTTGCTAACATGTAATTTCCTCCGAGCCTCACACACATGTGGCTCCTGGATGCACACATTGAAAAAACATATAAAGGCATGCATACATTGTATTAAGAAAAAGACATACATGCATAAATAGAAAATACTTTAGAGAAATAAAAAATTGTAATTATAAACGCGAAGATCGAAAGTTAGTCTTGGAGAAGGCTTTTTTTTTTTTAAATTTTTTATCAGTACAAAAAGTAATTATCAAATTTTTTATAAAACAACTGTAAAAATGTAACTCAAATTACGAGAAAATTCTTGCAGTGTTCTCTCTCCATTCCATTTTATAGTAAACATTTAACAACTTTTACGCGGGTTAGTAATAAATGATAATGATAATAACATATCATAACATCTAGTTTTACACGTATGCTTTGTTTTTGTCATTTTCTTGCACTACGCATGTGTTTGGACTAACACTAAACTTACAAGGAAAGACACAAGAAAAACAATATTGCATATATATGTGCGTGTACATATCTAGAGACACACGCATGGACAAACATATAAAGGCATACATACATTGTATTAAAAGAGACATACAAACATAAATAATGTTTAGAGAATTAAAAATTGTATTTATAAATGCGAAGATCGAAAGTTAGTCTTGGAGTATGATTTTTTAAAACATTTTTTATCAGTGCAAAAAGAAATTATCAATTTTTTATAAGGCAACTGTAAAAAAAAAATGTAATTCAAAGTACAAAAAAATAAAAAAAAATCTTGCAGTGTTCTCCCTCCATTCCATGCTTTAGAGAACCTTCAACAACTTTGTCACGGGTTAATAGTTAATTAATAACATATCATAAAATCTAGTTTTACACGTATAATGAAAGAATTAAAACTTAAATCACATGTGACCTAGAAGCATTATGTTCACTCTAGCATTTAAAAGTTCATAATTCAATCCGACGAGCTTTTAAATTGGTTTTAGTTTCATCTTAATATTATGAAAAATTTTATGTAATTGATGGGGGGAAAAATATTTTTTGAAAAAAAAATAATATTTTCTTTTTAAATATATTTTACATTTTTTTTATAAAAATAATTTTCCTATACACTAGCTCAATAAACAAGCATTTAGATCTGATAATTTGGGTCAAGCCCGACGGGCCAGCCCAAACCCGCCTGAAAAATTTAGGCTCGAACTTAAAAAAATATTTTTATTATTCAGGCCTATTCGGGCAGCCCGAATAGGCCTGAGAAAATTCGGGCCAAGCTCGATCGGGGTTCGGGCTTGGCCCGAATACTCGAATAGAAAAAAAATTTTTTTAACAAATATATAATATAATAAATATTAATTATTTTTCAAGTTTTATATCATTTTATTTTAAAATACCGTATATTTGAGTGTATTATTATAGTTATTTAAAAAAAATAAAAATATTTATATTTTTCCATTTTTATTATTTTCAATCAAATAAATATCTCAAAATAATAATTAAAATATATTTTAATATTAATTTTTATATTTTAAGACTCAATTTTTTTGAAAAAAATTGAGTCATATACGCCATTTTCTTGTCCAAAAAATTATATTATATATTTTTTATAAAATAAGATAATTAATTTTAAATTAACAATAATTTTAAAAATAAAATTTGGACATGTATAAATTTCCGGCTCTATTACTAAACAAATATAATAAATAAAATAATATTTTTAAATAATTATTTGATTATCATCCACATCAGACTTAGTTAAAAATTAAGAATGAACTAAAGTAAAATACCCTTTATATATAGGACTTAAACAATATAAAAGATCCGAGCTCAAACCCGCCTGAAAAATTTAGGCCCGAGCCCAAAAAAATATTTTTTTATTATTCGAGCCTATTCGGGCCGACTGAATAGGCCTGAGAAAATTCAGGCCAAGCTCAATCAGGGTTCGGGTTTGGCCCGAATACTCGAATAGAAAAAAATAATTTTTTTAAACAAATATATAATATAATAAATATTAATTATTTTTCAAGTTTTATATCATTTTATTTTAAAATACTGTATATTTGAGTGTATTATTATAGTTATTTAAAAAAAATAAAAATATTTATATTTTTTCATTTTTATTATTTTCAATCAAATAAATATCTCAAAATAATAATTAAAATATATTTTAATATTAATTTTTATATTTTAAGACTGAAAAAAATTGAGTCATATACACCATTTTCTTGTCCAAAAAATTATATTATATATTTTTTATAAAATAAGATAATTAATTTTAAATTAACAATAATTTTAAAAATAAAATTTGGACATGTACAAATTTCTGGCTCTACTACTAAACAAATATAATAAATAAAATAATATTTTTAAATAATTATTTGATTATCATCCACATCAGACTTAGTTAAAAATTAAGAATGAACTAAAGTAAATACCCTTTATATATAGGACTTAAACAATATAAAAGGTTAAAGAAAAAAAATTCAAAAAATAGTATTTTACTTATAATTAAATAATTTTGTTTTATATAATATAATAATGATTATTTTTTTCATATTTTTAAAAATAAAAAGTACAGTTTATCCAATAGTTATTAAAAACTTTGAACTAATCAAGACAATAAATTTAAATTAGTGATCTAACCATAGTTGAATTGAGATTAACTTAATCATAATTAAAATAATATGATTCAATTAAAATATATAAATATTTTTATATAACCATGATAAGGGTAATATTTAAATAAATAAGACATTAATTTATAAGTAAAGGAAACATTCATGAATAAATTGTACATAATACAACAAAACAGTAACAGAGCTACTTAAATACTTAACTACAAAGTTAATAAGTTATTTTTTTATTCCTTTCAAGTTAAAATAATATATTATGCTTAATAAAATTATTTAAAAATCAAAATTGATTAAAAATAAAAAAATATTTTTAAAAAAGTTTCGAGTATTTAGGATCCGAATAAGCCCGAAGCCCGAAGGCGTTAGGGCCGAGCTTAATTATATGAGCTTTTTAAAAAGAATAAGATTCTTTAAATTTGATTTAAATTGAGCCTGACTCGCCCAAATTACCACCTCTAGGCACTTGGTCGTGACCAGCTTGGCTACAAAAAGACCTTCAAATTGATCTGATTCTGTAAAGATAAAATGATTCATGATCATATCGTTCTGTGCCATTGGAAGGATCTTATTTGGTTTCGGATACATGAACAGAACAGCCGCCATCAGAGGCGGGAACATTCTGGCGGGGGCCTTATAACGTCCCTTTCTTCCTTCTCATCCTTCGAAACTCGAATTCACATGGGGTCGTTTTTTCTCCCATTTTCCCTAATTTATTTTTGAACAAGCGAGTCGGCTTCTTCTTTACTTCTCGTTGCTCTGCTTGTTCATATATACTTCATCGATCAGAAGGATTTAACACGGTCCACGAGTTCAAGTTTTGAGTCTCCCACTTTCCCTCTCTGTTTTCCTTATGAATATTCTCGGGAAAATTCTCAGTGGTTGGTAGGTTGGGAAAAATGATGACGAAATAAAGAAAAATAAAAAGGATAAATCTACTTTTTGGCGGCGAAAAAGAAGAAGAAGAAGATGGCGGAAACGCGGGAATCCGAAGACGGGTCTGGTAGGTAAACAAAACAAAAAGTGGAAAGAGGTCCAAAGACGCACATATATTAATTTTGGGCATGAAATAAAATCGCTGAAACGAGATGGGGTAGGGGCCATTATTGAATGCTCCAACATGCCCTAATAAATAAGGGGTCGTGGGGGTCAGGGGTTGTTACTTGTTTGTTGCTCTCTTTAAGCTTTTACATTAATTGCTGGAGACGTGGGATGAACAGCTACTGCGGTTGACCATTATTAGGGCAATAGGGCTATAGTTCCTACCACTCACACTTCATTCATATTCTCTCTATTGAAACATACTTCTACGATTCTTTTCTTTATTATTATTATTATTATTATTATTATTATTTTTTGCTTCCTTTCTTCCTTTCCAATGCTTCATACTCTAAACAAAAGCAAACTCTGGCTTTGGTCTTTGGTAATTCCTTTATGCCTCTGCTTTTGCTTTAGTTTCATCCATTTGAATGTCTCTGGAATACCCTTTCTTTTCCTCTTTCTTTATCTGCTCATTGCAATTTTAAATTATCATTGTTGTTGCAGTATCTTGTCTCTGTCTCTCTTGTCTCTGGGCTCTGTTAGACTCTTCTCTTAAATTGTCTCTACTGCAGGCAGCCTCATCTAGAAGAAAAGGTATTGTGTGAAGCGTATTATAATCTGTTTCTTTCAGTTGATGCATGTAGGCTTTTCCCCTTCCTTTTGTCTTTTTTCTTCCTGTCATTTTATTGGCTATGCCTTTGAAGGTTTTGGGATCTGAGATGGATCTTTCACTTGTCCATGTTTGTTGATTTCCTTCATTCCATCGGTTTGTAGCCTAGCTAGGACTTGCACTTACTTTTCTGGATGTCTAGGTTTTGTTTTGTGTGTGTGTGTGTGTTCTCGTGTTTTTTATTTTTATTTTTTAATTCCTCTGGTGTGTTAGACCTTATCAGAGCTAAGAAACAACCTGGATTTTCTGTACCAAAAAAAAAATGATAAATTTTTTGTACAGTCAAGTTGTGGGGGCCTCGTGATTTGAACTGTGGTTTTGTAATTTTGGGGTTTTGCAGCTGAAATCTTTATAAAACTCCGATGATTTTAAAACTTTGCTTTGTCTTTTTGTATACATTGATAACTACACTGGGCGGAAAACTTTTACTCCTAATAAAAAAAGGTGACTGGTATTTCGTTTTCGTACTTTATAGACAAATGGACGCCAAAACTGTATTTTTAAATAAGAAATTATCAAAACTTACTGAGATCAATTCTTCCAAGTCAAGTGATTTACTCTAAACCTTATATTCTTGAGGCTATTAGTAAATGTTAATGGCCCTTGATTAAGCTCTTAGTGCACTTTATAATTCAGAGATATTAGCAGAAATTTCCTTCAATGTTTGATAAACGGGGTTTAGCTGTGTTAGTGACAGATCAGAGTTACCTTCCTCTTAAAATCCAATTCTAAGATCCCTTATGCATATTAGTTATGCTTTTTTTAATTATTATTAGAATATTTTTCAGGATGAGATTATCCTTGTATTATTGATGGGGAACTTTGTTACTGATATTTGGCTTTCACCATTTTTTGTCTACAGAGTTTGCTGCTGCTATTGTTTTCATCACGTGCAGTTAGTACTGTTACCATTAGTTACTTGCTGGTTGCTAAACCTGTTCATGTTTTCTCTTTTCTGATATTCAGGATCCTGCATAATATTGGGCGCTATCGTAACAGTGTTTGATTGAAAATATGATTGGTTGAATCAAGGAAAATTTTTCAATGTGTTGAAGGAAGTCCACGTGAACCATGAAACTAGGTAATAAACAGCCTACTTCTGATTTCTGCATTCAATTCTGTCACTATCTTTAGCTGCCATATATGTATCTGCTCATTAACTAACTGTTCACCTAAATGTGGCATCGTAAAATCAGTTAGGACTTTATTCTCAACTCTTTATGTTTTATATTGTTTAATCCTCACTATTACTATTTCGTTTTCCAAACTTGGAATCGTGATTTTATATTAACTGACATGAAAATGTGCGTGCAGAGGGTGAGCTCGTCTCTTGCCATCCAAATATTTGCCTTGAAACTAAAAATCAGTCCTTTGAATTCAATGATAGTAATCCAAACTCCATCCTATGCAAATCAAGAAGCGAGAAAGTGAAGGAAAATGACGGAAGGATTTCCTTTGATTTAAAGAGTAATGAGGGGAATCCAATTCCAATACAATATGACATGGAGGGGGAGGAAGGTTTGATTGCTTCAAAATTTGTTTGCCCTACAGGCATAGTTGATTTGAAACATAAAGATGAAGCAAAGGCCCAGAACTTTGTTGAACCTGTCTCTCATTCTTCCCAAGATATAGAAGCATCTGATGCAAAAAGGCCCCATGATGTGTGGATCCATGATTCTCCAGAAGAGTCAGATTCATGTGAGAATTGTGAAGATACCTATTCTGATGAATATGTGGCAGAAAGTCAACCAGAATTGATAGTATGTTACAAAGAAAGTAATTGCCATTTTATTAAGGATATATGTGTTGATGAAGGAGTCCCTGCCATGGATAAGGTCCGGTATGAGAATAGTGTTGATGAAAAGGATGTTTCTAAATTATTGCCTTTTGATCCTTCAAGAACAGAAGTGTCAGAGAAAGACAACAGCAAGATTAATGTGCCTTTACCAGATGATCTAGATTTATCAATAACCAAGGAATCTGGCAAGGTTCCTGCTAAACATCATCAGTCTGAGGATTTGATTCAGAGGGATGAGAATGCTACTGAAAATTTTGCTGATCAGAACAAAGAAATGGTTTTACCTGGTGGCACATTTTTGTTGCAAGAGATAGAACCAGAAGAAGCTAAGCCTTTGCGTGATAAGGGTGATGAAGTTGAACTCAACCATGCGGAGGTATTTTGCATTTTAGCTTCTGTTATGTAAAGATTTTGCTTGAAAATTTTATGTGCCTTTCGAAAAGATTGATTGACTATTTTTTGCATGTTATGTTTGATATTATTATAAAAATGTTAATAGCTTATATTTGAGTTAAAATTGTTGTTGACTTGATGTTAGAGCCTCTATAAGCAGGTAGTCTAAATTTTGATTCTTGTCACTTCCATTTTTGGTTTAAATGAAATTTCAATGCAAAATAGGTGGCCATTGGCCTGTACTTTCACTGTTGAACTTAAATTTACAAGGGCCTTGTGTTTGACTATGAACTTTGAATATTGTGAAGAAACCAAAATACTTATTTGCGTGACTGAAGTATTGAACTACTAATTATGAAGGTTTATGGTTTAAATGACTAGGAAAAAATGTGTTACCTGCTTTATTTGTTAAATGTAAACCACTGCTCTTCCTTCTATGGTTATCATTTCTTCTGTATCAGTCTTTGAACAATAAAATCTTCTGGAGAAGCTTCTATTGAAATATTGAAAATGATTAGCCTAGTTTTGATGAAGCTTTTCTTGGGATTTATTTGGAACTGCACAGCAAATCAGAAATTGATCCCTATGATTGTCATGCAGGTCTGTAGCGAGCCTGAATCACACTCCAAGCATGTAGAATCCAAAAACAGGGCTGGGGAAGCAGTATTGGCTAACCCTGCAGTCAATGAACTGGATAATGATATCCTTGTCAGAGATAGCTACTTTGTTCCTTCAGATTTTGTGGCTTCTTGTAGTAAAAAGGAACGTCACCAAGATGGTAGCTGTAAATGTGATGACTTTCTAAATACAGCTAAGCCTGAAGATGGGAGGTCTATTACAAGTCAAGTTTATCATTGCAATGGCGAGTCAAGTTTCTCGGCTGTAGGTGTATCTAGTCATATATGTTACTCAGGACCTGTACCCTTTTCCGGTAGCATTTCGCTTCGATCAGATAGCAGCACAACTAGCACGCGTTCCTTTGCCTTTCCCATGTAAATTTCCATAAAACTTCTTGGTTTAATGCCTCTCCATCATTACTAATTCTCTTGAGTGGTTGTTATTGAGTCCTTAAATGAAATCCTAATTTATGGATATCATGTTCTACTTAATATCTGCTTTTCTTGATTTTATTGAAGAACTGCACTAAAGTTTTCACATATTCTGATTGTAGACTGCAATCTGAATGCAATAGCAGCCCAGTCAGAATGGCGAAAGCTGACAAAAGGCATCACCGGAGGCAGAAGGGTTGGAGGGAGGGCCTTCTTTGCTGTAGATTCTGAACAATTCTTTCTCTCTTTTACAGGTTTAGAATTATGAGATATATATAATATCATTGAATCTCATGTACATCTCCGAGATGTTTATTGACCAGAAAGGTTAGAACGCTGAGTTTGAGCTCCTTTATGCAAGCCAAGCCCTGTCCCTCCCCCCCTTTCCTTCCATCTGTTTTCCTCCTTAGTCTTCAATATATGGTATAATCATTCTCATCTACATTAAAGATTCCAAGTGTAAGTGTATGATAAGTTTAGGTTAGTTCATGTTCCGAAAACTCTCAAAGTAGAAGCGAGCTAGTCAAATCTCTTGAAGTTGCTGTAATAATCTCTGATAAATTCTTTCCATGGCAGAAAGGAGAGGAGCGAATTAATCAACAGTGTATATTAGTAATGTATGAAATGAGACTGAGAGGAAGGGTTTTTGACTTTTTGTACACCGGATTTTTGTTTTTTAAAATTGAATTCTGGCAACTTTTACCCCTTTTATTATGTGAAAAATTTTGACAGCATTGATTCTTTCACATGTTGGTTGTCCTGGAATGAAATAATTCTTGGAGCTATTTGAATTATTTTATTGATTTTTTTGTTTTATTAATCGAGGGGAGTTGCATTTTGAACTTTTTAGGTGATATAATAATGCAGAAGTGAAAGAATTTGAATCTCCATTTAAATAGATGGAATTTGAGGGTGATCTCCTCTATATTCTACTTATACACAATGAACTAGATAGGTGGTTTATGAGGTTTGAGGAGTAAATTATACTATTATTATTTATGAATATTGTAATTTATCAAGAAAAATTGTTCTACTTCCATTCCATATTAATTTGTCGTTTGATGTTAAGGAATGTAAATTAAGAAATTTTTTAGTGAATAAAAAAAATATGATTATATATCAACTAAAATACTCTTATTCAATCCCCTCTTTGAAGAGGGAGTAATAGATAAGATAAATGAGGGAAAAAAGATGAAAAGAGAAAGTAATAAAGAGAGATAAATTGATAATTATTAACTGTGAGTATGGGGGAAAAAAATAATCATGCCTTGAATTTGTGAAAAAAGACAGCTTTCGAAACCTTAAAAAAAAAAATGTAAAATAACAATTGATATGGCATAGCTGGGGTATTTTCTTATGTGTATTTTCAATTTTGACATTGGAACTTCTTCGTTGCATGTGATATATTAAAATTTGAGTAAATGCCATACAATAGAATAAATTAATTTTATAAAAAATGGAATTACACAAAGCAAAATAGAAGCTTTAATCAAATAATATGAAATGATTAAAATATTGCTATTCCTTGATCCTCTTCTTCTCTAGCAATGACCTTCAAATTTTACTACTCCCAAAGCTTGTCTTGGGACCACGATTTTCTTGGTCTCAATCCCATTGCTTAGTTCATCTTTAATGACAAGTTCTGATGGTTTAAATTAGGTTTACAAGTAAAGCAGAATAGAGCTTATTTGTCCAAGCAGGATTCTCTCTCATGTGCTTTGTGCACAAACAACAAACAATTAAAGATCAAATATCAATTAAAGTAAGAGTCAGTCTGTTTAAGATTAAAAAAGTTATTTTAGTTAAACTTAACATGAAGCAATTATTGGGATAACATTAAGCCGGTTATAGATGTTTTGTTGGGGAAAAAAAATCTATTTTCAACTTATATATATTTAACACATCCGTCATACTTAGCTTAATTTTATTGATAATTCTTTCATGCTCTCACCAACTTTCTCATATTTAGCTTAACTAAAATAACATTTTCAATACTAAACAAACTGGACATAAATTAAACTTTTTAAATTAAATTTTTTTTAATTATGCACATGTATTCTTTTATTAAATCCTTTGCTTAAAATATAGTCAGATATTAAATGTAGTCACATCTCCTTAATAATATTTAAAATCAGGTAAAACAATAGCTGCTACCCCTTGCTGAGACTCAACTAATGAAAGTTCAACCTGGAAAATAAATAATAATAATAATAATAATAATAATAATAATAAATACGTAAAAGTTGGATGAGTGGGGATGCAATCTGATATTGATGAGTTATACAATGCAAGACATGTGCTTAGCTTTGAAATTCACAAGCCTTCCTTTGGATGATGAATTAGTCGGTATGTATGTCCCTTAAATTTGACGTGGATGGAACTAACCAAGGGCTCCTAAGGCCACCTATCATCTCTATTTCATGTCAATTCTCTGTTTCTTCTTCCCACGAACACGAACATAAACTTTGAAAATCAATTCAATGTGGGGGTCCACCAGGGTGGTAATTTCGATGCCTAGCACTACACGGGTATACATGCATACATATATATATATATATATATATGAGAGAGAGAGAGAGAGAGCAACTGTTAAGGCATGTGAGAAAAGAAAATCAGTTTCCTGTGCCCTTCATGGCTTCCCTAGCTACCCTAGCCCAGAAAGTTCCATTCTCATAGGTCTGATTCTATTTTCAAAAATAGACAACAGTCAAAAAAGGAATTAATTTAACTAGCGAAGAAACGGAAGCCACTTTTAATTGATGCAATCTAAATCCTAGTACACATAATCTTTAGTTTAATGTTTTGTAATTGACAAGTGTTCACCAATTAGGGTTACATTGTGCTGTAAACCAAGAACAAGCCATTTATTTATTTATTTAAAAAGTTAAAGGAAGTTGTTGAAAGTGGCTTTACACAATCACACCTAATTGATTGTTGTCCCTTCAATTGACTTCAGATCGTTGAAGCAGGGAGCTAGAGGAAACTGAACTGACTATCTCAATAATATTAGAAAAGATATGAAGAAGCAAATGATGAATAGAAAGTATCAAATATGATCATTCTTCACCGAGCAAATGGTTGATGAAGATGTAAGCTTGGTTATATGCAACGGAAAGTCAGAAAGTGAGGTTCCTACATCAGCATTAGGTGACAAAATCAACCCAAATTGTGTGAAGCCTCCTAAAAAGTGAGCAAATCAATATTATATTTGAGATTTTCATGAACCTGTTTTGGAACTCTCCATTGTTGTGCTTTGAGTTTCCTCTCTCTCTCTCTCTCTCTCTCTATATATATATATATTTATCTCTGCCATCATATGAGGTTGTATAAGCAAAACCCAACAGCTGAAGAAACTCCATTGTGCATAAGTAAAGTTAGTCAGATGGAGCTGGTAATGACCATCATTGTGCTAAGCATTTTCTTCTCTGGTTTGCTTCCACACTGTTCTGGTTCTCTGCAACTTCCGTTAATGAAACCTCCTCTTCAATATCAAGGTAACTAAAACTAACTTTATATTCTCCCTTTTGTCCTCTCTTTCTTTATGATTCTTGAAGTGATCAGGTTGTGCGCTTTTATATTTGGTTTTCATTTGAGCAGTAAATTCACACTACCTCTCTCTCCCACAAATATTCCCAAGGAAGCTTATGAACACTGAACGACAGGTACTGCAGAAATCAGCAGCAGATCATCAGTCAATCTAATTCTCGTCATCTCTTTCAATCATCTATATACGTGTCATTCACTCTTGTATTTTCCTGGAAAATATAGATTAAAGAACATGATGAAGAATCTACACATGGTGCGTCGAAACAGAATGACAAAGAAAACCTTTCAGGTAAGCATCAAGAAAACTTCTCTCCTTCATGCTATCTTATCCCATATCTGTATCAAATCCCTTTTCTTGAATCCTGTATCTTCCATAATAATTAATAACCTCATGTATTCATACACATTGCATGAATTAGGTCCAATCTATCAAATAATCAATAAATAAACATGTGGCATACTGAAACATGTCAGAAACCAGGAGATCCTTAGCACAACTGGTATACATTAATAGACAGTGCATTAGATTAAAATACTACCCCATTAAACAACAGCAGCATCCATAGATTTTTTAACTGATTAATCAGTGAAATATGAAGCCATGATCTGTGAAACATTTTGCAGGGAAGGAACAAGAAAAAGAGCAGAAGATGAAGGTGGTAAGGAAGAAGAAGAAGAAGAACAAGGGGACAAGGCAAGAATGGGTGGAAGGGGAGGACCCTTCACAGTACATGACAATGGATTATAGCAGAGTGAGAAGAAGACGACCAATACACAACAAGAACATACCTGTAGCTCCGTGAAACATGGGAGCTATTGACCATTTTAGATTTTGCACTATACCCCCCAAAACTAAATCAACTAGCTAGTTCTTTTCTTGTTTTGGACACACAGTTTTGTATTGGCCCCTGAATTTGCGTGTCTTGTAATTAGGTACCTTGTGCTACGACTTATATTTAGTCTCTGTCCTCATCCTCTATTGTGTTGTGGCCGACACAAGGAGGGACCAGAAACCCTAAAGTTTAGGTCACTCTGTAACCATTTTCCCCTTGATTTTATTTTATTTTTTTGTCTCTATGTTTAATTATCCCTTATTATTTGCATTTCTGATGGACATGTATGTAATTTATGTATATCTTTTCTTGTTTGGAGCATATAATCTTATTAATTTGTATGTGTTTTTTCCCCTTTGGCAAGAACATGCATATAAGTAATCATATATATATATATATATATATTATAGTCTTAGTAGTTTTTGCACATGGCCAACTTTATGTTGTAGTTTCCAAAGTTAGTATCATGGATGGTTTGAAAATTCTAATCTATGACTAAGACAATATCCCAGAATCAACGACAACAAATGTGATTTACATGATTTACGGTAAAGTCTTTTAAAGAATATAGGAGGAAATCAATTTTCATCATTTTCTTTTCATCATTTTAATATAGGTAAATTTTAGCTAACATCTATCGTTTAAGAAAGTTAATTAATTTTAATAATTATGTTTGAAATTGAAAATTTTAGACTAAAATGTCCTGATGATCAATCCTTTGTTTTCTCTTAATTTAATAATGCTATCATTTAATGAAGAGCATCAATTGAGGAAAGATATTATAAATGTGTCTTGAAAATTATTATTTTGCCTATAAAAAACAAAAAAAAATCATATAAATGTTTTGCTTATATTTAAGAACGAAGGAAGTATTTGAAATAAGCATTATTACATGGCTAACTTCCTCTAACTCACATTTGTAGAAGGTTGTCAATTTTCTAGCTCACTTTTTCCTTTTTAATCACCCATTCAGTCTTTATTAGCAAACTTAATACACAAAATATCCGTCAAACCTGCACGCATGGGGTTAATTACTAGTTGCATTAAATATATTGTCGCTGCTGAATAAAATGAGCTTACTAATTGCACATATGTATTTAATTATTGCTTTCTTGGGTTACTAGACAATTTCAATATTAAATTATATGTTTAGAAGCGTACGAGAATTTAAATTTATTTTTGGCATAATATTTCATTTTAACTTTTGAAAATGATAGAATGTCACTTCTATCATTAACAAAAATTTAGTTTAATTATTAGTTAACTAAAAAATTATAAAAAAGGATTCAAAAAAA